TTTTACCCGGGATACGTCCCACCAAATCGTTTAACAACCAGGTACCCATTCACTGCTGGGTAAGCAGAAGCTACAGTTAAAGATTGGCACCCAGTCAATCCCTGGCCAGGATACAAACCCAGGCCAAAGCGCTCACAAAGCGCTGGGCGAATGTTTTACCACAGCGCCATGGGGACTGCCTCAAATTATTAACTAAATTCATTAAATTAATGAAACTTGATCTGTAAGTGAGGCTTCAAGAAATCTTCACCAAGTAAAATATGGTTTTCGAATAACAAAAGATTCCTTGCCCCTAGACTAGAGCAGGAGCTTTAGTGCCATGGAATCTAATACTTCTAGAACAAGTGCTTCGCTGACGACTTTCGTTCGAACCATAATACAGTACTGTAAATGCTTCACCCACGTACTGCAAATAACCGCCAACAAAACCTAAACGCCTAACCTAACCTTACGAGTGCCTAAATATGCACAATATGCTGATATATAATATTAATTTATATTTGAGAAAAGTTCTGTTTTGAATGAACAGAATGTTAAAATCGATGAATGCGTCTTTGGGGTCAACATCTGGATAGAATGGACTTTGTCTAAGGATGGGTTGCAGCATAGATGAAGGTGTGAAGCAAAAGTTTCAGCAAGGTATTTAAAGCAGTTACCACTGTTAACAAGGTGGATCATGAACCCAAATTTTGAGAGCATACTTTAACATGTCATTGTAGCAAATTTTTTCCAGCGTGGCATAAAAACTGAAAAACCTCTACAGTGACAAAGTAACTGTCAATTTGGGAATCCATATCATTGGAAAAGGTAAAAAAAATAAAGCTCTATTAGGCACATTAAAATAGAAATCCCCCCCTCAATTTGTTTTTTTATCCAGGACACTCAAATGACCAAAATGGGACCATTTCCTCAAGGATAACAGATTGTCAACCAGATGGAACCAGGGGCCTCATAATGTAACCAGGAAGTGGCTTAGGAGCCAGATTCGAATGCATTCAAGATACATTTCCAACATAACACCTTAGTTTCTGAGTAAGTACTTCAGTGTCACATGCCTGGGAGATTAGAAAGCAGAATGCTGAAATCTGCTGAGACAAGGCATATTCAGACCCTGAAAAAGGACTCTGATATGCAACTTGGAAGCAGCACAGGCAGCATCCCATTCAAAATGGAATGTAGGATAATAAGAGTGCCAATCTGAATGTACAACATGCACAATCTGGGTGAAATGGTTCTCATTGCAGTCTCCAGAAACTCCAAACCCCCTTCCCAAAACTACACATGAATCCTAAAAATAGGAGATAGTAGTGGGTAGAACCACTCATTATTAAAGCCTTTAATCCCCCTTACCAAGAGTGTGATTTCTAAATCATCTTACAAGGATGGGGGGGGAGGGACCAGGGGCCAGATTCACAAAGTAGTTACGCAAGCACTTACGAACCTGTCCATCTTTTCTCAATCTTTGGCGGCTTTGTTTACAATTACTAAACAGTTAATGAGCTATGAGGCACCAGGAGACTGTTTATAACAATAACAACAGTTGATTGGGAAGTTTTCATGCTTGTAAACTGTTTAATAAATGTAACCAAAGCCATCAAAGATTGAGGAAAGATGTACACGTTTGTAAGTACTTGCGTAACTCCTTCATTAATCTGGGTCCAGATGGATGGCAGGCGAATGAGATGGGGAGGCTGGTGGGGGGGAATGGAAAAGAAAATCTTTCAAACATCAGCCCTAGAATCATGTAAGGAAAGAACACGTGGAGGGCGAGTGGAGGGCGAGTGGGTGGGCAGGTGTCAGTGTGTGCAGGTGGGCAGTAGTGAGATGGTTAGCAGAGTGGGTCAACAGAGTTGGTGTGCAGGGAGAAAAACAAGCGGGAACAAGCGGGTGGCAGACGGTAGACTAAGGAGGTGGGTTGCAGGGCAGGCACAGAGCGGGTGGGTAGCAGGGCAGCCAAGAGACAGTGGGTGGGCAGATGAGTAGCAGAATGGGTGGTCAGAATGAATGGTCAGAATGGGTGGGTGGGTAGCAGTTGACAGGCAGGCAGTGGCGTGAGTGGGCGAGCTTCTGACTAGGACTAACACAGAAGGCCACCCCCAGTCCCTCCCCAAAACCCCCCATCCTGCACACCGGACCTTCCCCTCTATCTCCATCCCCCCCCATCCCGCACCCTTCTCACTACCTTCATCTTCTCATCCCCCACACTGACCCCCAGATGGTATTAATACGGTAGGCTTCCTTGCTAGCAGCTGATGGATCAAGAGGCAGGCTCCCAGGGTGCCTGACATTAAACTCTTATTTTTTTACCGACTGGTTGCGACTGTGAAAACCTGACTGTGTCTGAATGCCTGACTGACCTTGAATGCCTAACCAGCTGCTACCGCAACAGTTAATGCCTGACTGCCTTTGGTTATGACTGCCTGTGACTGGTCTTCACTCCGAATGCTTGACTGACATGTTATTACCGACTGGTTCTGACTGGCTGCCACATAGCAGGCACTGAAATGTGTGAAAGGAAAGTTTGGAACCAATGATGCAGATACGAATGCATTTAAGGCGAGCCGGGAACGGTCCTTCTAAACACTCGCAACCTCCCCTCTCCTCTCCTCCTCCGTTCCCCATACTCCAACACAGCTCCTCCCTCCTCACCATCTCCCATACACCAGAGTCTTCAGTAAACGTAAAGTGCAATTAAATGTTCACTTATTTTATTTATAGTGCAGTATATATTTATACTTGATTGTTTTGTGTATAAAAAATACGAGTAGTATTCTGTATAAAATGTATTTTCAAGTTAATATTTTTGGGGGTGTGGAATGGATTAATTAAATTTACATTATTTCTTGTAGGAAAATTTGTTTCAGTTTACGAATTTTCAATTTACGAACCATCTCTGAACGGATTAAATTCATAAACGAAGGTACCACTGTACTGTACATGTAAATATCTACATTTTTATGCACCATAACAAACCAATAAGTAATTCTGGTGGGTGTGGTGATGAAATCTATGAACAGAATAGTACCACACACTACTAGTAAGCGATGCCACCTGATGCACCAAATGACTCGTGCTATATTACGCACATGCTAACTCTAGCTACAACACTGCTAATATTATCAGATTCCTGATCACTAGATCATTAATCGCTAAATCATTAATCACTAAATTAAAAAATTAAGAATCAACACCAAGGAGCTACTATGAACCAGTCCAGAAAGAAGGTAAGTAAATGAAAATGCTTCCAACTGTGACATATAATATTCAGAAGGTTTTCTCTACTGTATGAGAGGAGCCAAGCCTTAAATTACAATAATATTGGGTCATGTAAGTAGCAGTTATGAACAACTATATACAAATTTAAATATGTATCTTGTGGATTGAGACATTCACACATTTCAGTAAAAAAAATACTTATGATAAAACTTATTTACTTGCAGCAATGTGCTTGTTTGTTTATAGAGAAACCTGCAGAGGTCCAACTGTCACACAAGCTGACAAGATAAACCCAGCTAACACACAAACAATGATCCAATCTTTACAGCACATGATGTTTTATTACCTACAGTATTTGAAATACAGTACATACAGTATTTAATAAACAAGAAAAAAATGTTTGCTTCATATAATTTTTCTATTACTTACCAATGAAGTTACAACATTTAGTCTTAAACAGTCATAATTAGATTAGTATTATCTCTACCCAATGTCATATCTCTGTTTATCTTCAAAGTAATCTTGCCCTTACATAAATAGTCACTGAAATAACAATTTCTGATGGATTCACGTCATGAGGATTTGCATTTCATTCTGTCAAAGCAGCAAGGAAAATGACATGTTGGACAACAAAAACCTTTCAAACTAGAGATGCCACACCAATGAAGATACTTTTTAAGACACTAGGTGCTCTCTAGGGTTGAATATTGTTCCACATTAACAGCCCCATTCAAAGCTGGGAAAATTGTTGATCTGGAGAACATGCAAAGATCTTTTACTACTAGAATCCACTCAATAGAAAGTGAGTGGATTCTCAATCTAAATTATTGGGACTGCTTACAAATTTTAAATCTGCATTCTCTACACTAGAGTACAGGTTGGAGAGAGACATAATTTACACTTGGAAAATACTAGGACTTGTTCCAAATGTTCACACACAAATAATGCCACATGAGACCAGAATGCAAGGTGTGATGTGCAAAATAGTTCCACTGAAAAGCAGAAGTGCAATAGGCACGTTGAGGGAGAACTCAATTGATATAGAAGGCACAAGACTTTTCAACTCTTCCCCTATTACACATACAGGATATAACTGGCTGACAACGCAGCCTTCAAAAGAGAACTTTACAAACCGCTTCAAAGGATACATAATCAATCAGGCTGACTCATACATCAGGCTGCAAGCCAGTGAGCATCCTAGTTGACCAGACCACAAACCAGGAGGCCTGATCACAGACAGGGCCACGGGACGTTGATCCTCAATAATCAACAGGCAATCAACAGGAACCAGGTCTTCTAGTAGAGTACTATATTCTACTACACCTTTTAAGAACGTTGACTGGTTTCCACCAACCGCCCGTCACCAACCATTCATCACCAACCACCCCCGTCACCAGCCACCCCCCTCACCAGCCACCCCCGTCACCAGCCACCCCCGTCACCAGCCACCCCCGTCACCAGCCACCCCCGTCACCAGCCACCCCCGTCACCAGCCACCCCCGTCACCAGCCACCCCCGTCACCAGCCACCCGTCACTATTACATTAAACTCCTGCCAACAAAGCTGCAGAGAATGTATGAATATTCGTGTCACTCCTCAAAACCCCGAAAAATCCGCAGAGGAAGCTGGTGATGCAGCAGCCGGTGCAACGCTCCCAGGATCTGAACCCATCGATCGCGAGAGCGGCGGAAGGAATGACCCTGAAGAAACTTGAACATCCGCCGAAGCCAGATCCGACCCAATGGGTAGACCAGTACAGTGAAATTCAGGCTCCCGCACAGCTGCTCGAACAACCGAAGTGTGACCAGGGTGCCCTCCAAAAACAGCCGGAGACAGGACCGCAGCCGCATAAGCATTGCGGGAGGGAGAGACAAGGAAGCGGTCTGAGAGTCCCACACAAGACCCAGCCAAGTCCAAACCTGAGAGGAAACCAAATGGGACTTCCTCCAGTTCACCAAGAACCCGAACCCGGTGAGCTGGGAAAGAACCAAATCCCTGACGAGCAAACACGCAGACTGGCTGGGAGTCCACACCAGCCTGTCGTCGAGGTAAGCCAGAACCCGAACCCCTAACAGACGCAAACGGGTCACCACGATCCGGCATGGCGTGTGAACACTCAAGGTGCCAGATTCAAGCCGAATGGAAGGCAACGAAAGTGGTAAGCTTGTGACCCACGACAAAACCGAGCCAGTCCCTGAACCCCAGATGAATTGGGATGTGCCATTACGCATCATGGAGGGCCAGAGACCATCCAGGCACCCTGCGCCAAAAGCAGCCAGACCTGAGACAGGTCTGGCTGCTTTTGGCAGCCAATTCTTCACAAAGAATGAAATTCTTCACAAAGGATGAAATTCTTCACAAAGGATGAAATTCTTCACAAAGGATGAAATTCTTCACAAAGGATGAAATTCTTCACAAAGGATGAAATTCTTCACAAAGGATGAAATTCTTCACAAAGGATGAAATTCTTCACAAAGGATGAAATTCTTCACAAAGGATGAAATTCTTCACAAAGGATGAAATTCTTCACAAAGGATGAAATTCTTCACAAAGGATGAAATTCTTCACAAAGGATGAAATTCTTCACAAAGAAGTCAAGCACAGTCGTCACTAGGTGGAAGACATTGATAAACATAAGCGCGCCACGTGCTCGGTCAATCCATACGTGTATCAACAAACCATACATGTATTAGCACCGAGGCAAACCTCGAATAACGAGTCAAATTTTTCGAAGAAATGCGATCAAAATTCTCCTGGATCAAAATTCATGCAGCACTTTGTATCCATTTGAGGATCATCTGACATGCATTGCGTAAGAATATACTGCTTCATGCCTCAGACCTTCCAATGTACAGATTCATCTCGAGCTAATGCTGTATAGTACCGAGATGTACAGTTATAAGTACAAGGTGACTAGCCACTCTCAGACTCATATATTAAAGAGTTGAGGGAATAATTGCAGATAAACACTATAATGATATAGGTTGACGAGTACAGTTCTAAGTGTGGCAAGTTACATTTTCATAAGAACCTGGTGCACCAAAAAATTATTTCCACAATGTTAAGTCAACTAGGGCTTCTATACTATAATTTTTCACCCCAGAAAAAGAATTAATAAACCCGGATTGACTAACCTTGCAATATTAATTCATTTTCTAACACCAGATTCCCCTCATGAACCATCACACTCCACTGCAAAAACATAGGAGTATAGCCTACACAGTTTTCTAGTCAAAAGCCAATTTAAATTAAGACTTACGTATCTGTTGCTGAGCTTGAGGTTGAGGCTGTTGTGGGATCTGTGGAGGAGTCTGCGGCTGTGTTGGAGGAGCTTGTGGCGGAGCAACACCTTGACTCGGTGGGGGAGGCTGGGGCTGTCGTAAAATATCCATTCGGCACGTTGGGCATGTTTGTTGACGTTGAAACCACGATCGCAGGCATGATGCATGGAATATGTGGCCACATGGCAGTTTCTTAGCACCTACAGTTAAAAAAAAAAATTAGTTTTCTTTCCAATTTTAAGCTTATAAGAATAAAGTTTATTTAAAATTAGATTCGATTTTAATTGAGTGGGATTCAGCTTAACTATTAGGTATTAAGTTCTAACCTGTAACCATTTCTTCCCTGCAGATAATGCAAACATTGTCAACAGCTGTCAGTTCCTCTGGCGTTGCATCTGGATATAAAGTGTTCATATTTCGAATAGCACGTCTAGAGAGAATCACATCATTCAGTGCTCTCTTGAAAGACCTAAAAGTAGAAAAAGTGCCTAGTTGATTAAATGTAAATATAGTACACAGCAAATTTTGATGGAAGGAAGTCTATTCTCAGATAATTACTATACAGAGTTAAATCATTATAATTTAAAAAATCTTGTATGACAATATATAATGGCAGTTAAGTTTAATGAAGGAAATAAAACATTAAAAGATTAAGAAAAAAAACAGTTTCCTTAGCACTTTCATGTTCTGATGATGCATTTTAGCATTACCAGTACTCCAAAAGTAAACATTCTGATGACACTAAAAACACATCATCTGATTGCTATTCATGAATATTCATATACAGTACTGTATTCATTGCTGTTATGCATAATAAATTATCAATAACTGCTTTTGCATCTATTCTCTAGGCAATTTATTTGCAAGCATTTTGAAACCAAATTTATTGTTCTAACCCAATAAATAACTTACAATGACTGAAATTCTAAGCATGCATTGTCATTAATAAAGCAAAACGCTTTCTTTAATCTAGTTGTAATAGTTAATCAATAGTTTGGTCCAGAGACCTTCACTGGTCCAAGGTTCTCCTTCACTCTTTGCATTTGGGTTTCTGCCTCAAGTCTATCACCATCCCTATGATGCTTCAATTGCAGATCATCATACAAGCTTTGTTTCCCACCTGCATCATTCAACGTGGTTGAAGTACAAGGTTTGCTGGCACATTTTTGTCATCTCTCTTCATTATTTGTCTTCCATTTCGGTTTCAATGGTCCTGTCCTTTTTGTCTTTGTTGTTTGTTTATCACCATCTTAAAACAGAATACTGTTGCCTCTTATCCTTCATTCTTGGTGGAGCCACTTTTGTTGGCTTTCTGCATCAATAGTGTACTACCTTGGTGTCATTTCAGTTGCCTCATTTTTCACCTCCAGCCTGCTCCCCCCCCCCCCCCCCCCACCTCCTCTTGAGCTGTTTTGGTCTCTGGACCAGGTGTTGGTTTTTCTTTCATCTCATTTCTTGGTCACCCTTTCAGTTCATGATTCCTTTCCGAGGTCTGTTTTCATTGGTCCTCACTTCTGGGTTCATGGATAGGGAGCTTCTTGCTCTCCTCTGGAAGCATTTTCTGCCCTGGAGAGCAGTTTCTTTGTAGCCTCCTCCCTCCTCCTGTTATCACTGACTAATTCTTGGTCTGTTTGGCTGGGGGCACATCATTTGTTGTTTTCAGTTGTGGCAGTCTGCAGTGTCATACCATCTAGCTAGCTTGCAGTCTGCCTTCAGGCACATGTTTGGAGGTTTGGAACTTTGGCCCACTGTGTTTTCTAATTTGTCTTGAGCCGATATCCCAGGCTCATTAGTGGAGGAGCGGAGGGGAGGGGAGGCGGAAAGGGAGAGATTAGTTGGAGGTCTCCTGGGATCCTGACTGCTGATTATGAGGGCTAGTGTTTCTGCTTTCCTTCGTGCTTGTGCTGACCTGGGTAGGGTTCCCTCCTGGTCTTACTCCTTCGGAAGTTTGCTCTTTGCTCTCCTTCTTTCCTGGTGAATCCTGTTTTCTGTACTTAGTTACCTACAGGGAGTCATCATTTGACTTCTCCAGAAAACCAGAATATAAAGAAATGCCTCTTTCTGGGCATTTCGGTCACTCAGTGGCTCCCTGGAACCTCCCCTTCCCACCAGGTGCATCAGCTGACCAAGACTAGCTTACCTAGTCTTAGGTAGATAGAACACACCTATAGTAATTACCTAGTCTATTACTAGGCGTGTATCCTATCTATCTATTAAAGGTTACGGGTATCAATGTCCCCGCGATTGGTTGCTGGTCTAATCCACCAGGCTGTGTATTACCTAACTATTGAGTGGTTATCTTGAGATGTTATCTTGAGATGATTTCGGGGCTTTTAGTGTCCCCGCGGCCCGGTCCTCGACCAGGGCTCCACCCCCAGGAAGCAGCCCGTGACAGCTGACTAGCACCCAGGTATCTATTTTACTGCTAGGTAACAGGGGCATAGGGTGAAAGAAACATTGTTTCTCACCGACGCCCGGGATCGACCCCGGGACCACAGGATCACAAGTCCAGCGTGCTGTCCGCTCGGCCGACCGGCTCGAGCGGATTGTTCGAACAAAGTGGATTGTTTGCAAAGTCATTTGCTGTATTGTTTACTTTCTGTGAGTATTGCAGTTGTTCATATTCCTTCAATTCTTTTCTGGGAGTTTGTTTCTTCAGTATGGGTGATCATAAATCCCCTGCTCCCTTTGCCTCGGTGGGAGGGCCACGTTTTGGTCTCTGGTATGAGACAGGCTGATGTGACTTATAGGTGTGGAGCTATTCAAGTGTGACTAGCTACAGAGCCACCCAGGAAGAGGAGTTTCATTACTGCGAGAGTATGGTCCCTCAAGATTCTCCCACAGCTGATTTGAATGGCTCATTGATCAATGGATAGTTTATGCACAGTGCACCTAGCCATGTACAAGGCTCCATCTCTTTTACCTCTGGATGGAAAACTCATGTTGGGTGTCACCAGAAAGCCTACATGCCCAGGAATTCTCTTTTACCCCTGGATGGAAAACCCATGTTGGGTGTTACCAGAAAGCCTACATGCCCAAATATACCAATCATATGGAGACCACAGTATGACCAGGCAGAAAGTAGATAAAAGGAAATAAGGCAATTGCACCATAGGAAATGTGAGTCAGGAAGTACACAGCTTGAAGGTGCAAGCATGGGAAGAGAGGGGATGCCAGCAAGGTGGGAGATAAGCATGACCTTTGGGGTCAGCCTCAACCATCGTGATGAACAGTGACGTGGTCATGACATCACTTCTACCCATCATATAAGGATCAATATCACTGGTTCTGGCACCCGCTTTGCAATGCCATTGGTCAATTTGTAGACCTGGTGTTTGTGCCCAGGAAAGCCATGCAACCTGCTTGCACCGCTATTCTCCTAAGGAAATTGAAACGTGGTGGACGTGTGGTTCTAACCTATCGGCCAATAGAGTAGAACACACCAGCCGTTCCTTACCGTAATGTTAAACTCTTCATCTTTATCAATATACCGGCACTCGCCTAGAATCGCAACTGTGAATATATTGTTTTTAGAAATCTTCGAGTGACAAATCTTTAAACACCAGAACGAAACAGACTGATATCAGGTAACACCTGGAAACAAAGTGAGATTGCGATCCCTGTGAGTAACTCAGTGGGCTAGAGTGAACCAAGTACTGCCCCCTAAATAACTAACCGCCATCAGCCGCCACTCACCCTGCCTCACTGTACTACGTGACGTCACTACTTGTAACACCCTTACGTATGCGCCAGTGCAATCAGGGGCATCTGTATTTGTTACACACACACAGCATACCCTCCTGTGAGTACCCCGCCATGTCAAGTATAGTTGTGTCGGGAAAGTTTGTCATCCTAGTGTTCTCACGTCGTAACGAGCGAGACCAGCTGTCAAGCCATACAAGGATGTTTGCATGAATGACCATGAATGAGAATGGGAGAGGTTGCCTACCTGTAAGTAAAAGATCTTGTTTCTTTATTAAATGTCTTTCTGTGTGTTGATCTAAGTGGTCAACCACAGTCCTCACCGTCTCCACACCTGGCACAGGTATAGGTGGAGACCAAGACACCTGACAGTGTATGCGTGTTTATCTGTGTGGCATCATGACATTATACTCTTCTGTGAATGTGAGTTTCACATACACCACACATTTAGTTATTGTGTGACATAATTAATGTGCATGATTACTGCCTGTCCCATTGACAGTGTCATTGTTGTTTTACTGTCCATAATTTTTCCTGAGTATCCATTTGGAACTCCTGTGACCTATTGCACACCAGCACTTTAGGTATGCCGTGTTAGTGATTGGCTGTCAATCGTGTTAAGTTAGGTTTTGTCCAAGAATGGATCGGAATCGATTAGTCAGACGTCATGAGTCTCGCTAATGCAACCATAGCCTTGCTGATGCTAATCTAGAGTAAATCAAGCACCCATTGTATTAGTGGTTAAGTTGTATATACTGTACACTACTGTTAAGTATTATGCGGTGTTTCCGTTGAACCACTTCTGAATACTGCCATTACTTAAGCCTTCAGCCCCAGGTGTCTTCAACACCGAGTTTGCCTATTATTCCCAAAACTATAAATGTGATGAGGACCCTAGAGTCCCTTAAAGTGTTTCATCTACATTGAGGAGATTCCCACAACAAATGTGGATCAGGACCAGGTGAAGCCAGTCTGAGAGGAGACCATCAAGGACTCTTACTCGACTGTGCTCCCAGGCTCTGTACGCTTGCTCACGTATTTTCTCTGCTGGATTCTGACAGCTTCGTGAAGCCTCTGCCATATGCACATTGGTGACGTTGCACATAATTGCAGTCGGGATTAAAAAGCAAAGATAAAACCCCACAATTACATTCAATGCTGGGATTTTATATTTCCAATTTTCTCCTTACATTCCACATGTTTATACACAAAAACTCTAAGAGACTCACCTTAATGTCAAGTACATTGGTCTGATGATGAAGAGTGGGAAGGTGTGGATTCTTATCATGATGATCATAAACACTGCATACAGCACCACTTTAAAGAAACCTAGAACCATGAAAAACAGATGTAATAGGAATTAATACACAAGTACTGCATAATGATAATGGACTATACCATACAGGCAGCCTATATCATCACCTAGGGTGTGTAAATCTGTGAAGTTGTACATTACTGAGCAAGTACTGTACAATAAGATTTTTCAGTTTACAACACATTTACGTTTTGCACCAGTGCATGGACATACACATGCACAGACACGTGTACACACATGTACTGGGAAGATGGGACACCATGAGCATAGTTCTCATCCTGTAACTACATTTGGGTAATAACACAAATTATGTGAAAAAGGATTTAAAGAACTCTGATAAAGAAAGAGATCTAGGGAGTAGTTCAGGAAAGAAACACACTTGACCACAAAGAACATTGTGCGAGGCACTTCTGCTTTGCTTTGCAACTTAACACTTTCGCGCTTTAGATTAGAGATAACTCGTCGCCGTTTTCTCTTACGATTCCGCATAACAGCCTACTTTTCTCGTCCATCGAAAAAATATTTCTATAAATTCCATTTTTTAACCGAAATGGATGGGGATACTTTTATTTTGTAGAGAATTTATTTGCGAATGTTTTGGTACCAGAATGAATATTATATCACATAAACTTCTATGAGTAAAAAAAAAAAATACACAAAGTATGTTTGGGGGTGTGGCGAGCGTGTGGCAGTGGGTTCCCTTTAGCCGTTGATATATCCAACACGTGGGAAATATTTGTATGTGTTATGTATATGTCTGTGTAGGGAATTTTACTGCGATCACTGTCATACAAATTATAAAATGTTTCAACAAGTATAAACATGACAAACATCAAACGAACGAAAACAATGCGTTCGTTTCTGCCGCGAACGCATACTGAGCGACGTGGTTCTATATTTGGCGCTTCTCTTACACATGCTTTGTACAAATGTTATACAGTTCATCTTATAGAAAATTTTATTGCGAACACATTGGTATAAAAAAGAAATACGTACATAGAAAAGTAGGGTCAGGAAACGAATAAACTTTCCAAGCATGATTTCCCCCCTGTGTTTTCGCCAGTGCGCTCGCGGCTAACTACTCTCCACTTCACACACTCTTGCGGGTGGGCAATTACCTATATTAAACATTCATATGCATATGTCTGTGTAGAGAATTTTATTGCGATTCCAATGATACCAAAATTAGCGATGTAGGACAACTGTAGGCTTCGCAACCATTAAGAGAGTGGAAACATTTTGTTGCTGTTTGGCGCTCTCGGCAAGTGATCTGCATAGTTTTTTATTTGGTGTTGATACTCCTTATGCTTGGGCGGCATTTTATAGGTATGCTCTTATAGACAATTTCATTGCGAACACAGTGATACCAAATTTAAATACGTGCGCCTTCAATTATTGTCAGGACAGTCAAAAGAGTGCACACTTTTCGGTCTTACCGCGTAGGCGCGCGAAGTGCCGAAAGCATCTGGGGTATTGTTTTTTTTTGAGCGCCGAGAGCGCGAAAGTGTTAAGAATAATTTAAAATACATGGATTTCAAAATTTTAAAGCACTTGTTCACGACCTTTGTTCACGATTCCTGGCTGAGGCAGAAACAGTTTTTTTCCACCTGATGACTGCTCACTTAGCAACAAATAGGTACATGGGAATTAGAAAGCTTCTACAGCCTGCATCCTGGGGATGGATATGTAATTACCCCATGTGTAAATTACGTACATGTAGTTACAAGACGAGAGCTATGCTCATGGTGTCCTATCTTCCTACTACTTTGTCATGTGACATTTTGAAACTATTGACAGGTTTGACACCCACTGCCAAAACGTGTTCCAACCATCTACCACTCTGTTTGCAAAATTCTGTAACACGGCATTCATTCACATTGAATTCCATTTGCCAAGTGTTGTTCCATGCACTTATTTTGTCTAATACATCCTGAAGGGCATGACAAGTGTCAGTCTCTTATCTTCCCTAGCAGCTTACAACCATCAGCAAACATGTTCATATAATTATGTATTCCTTCTGATAGATTGTTTTAATAGACAATGAACATTTCTAGTGTTAGAACTGAACCCTGTAACACTCAACTAGTTATACTTCTGGAGAAGCTGGATAAAGTTCAGAAGTATGCCACTAGACTAGTCCCAGAACTAAGAGGCATGAGTTACGAGGAAAGGCTGTGTGTATTGCACCTCACTTTGCTCAAAGCCGGAAGAGCTCGGGGAGACATGATCATCACATAAAATTCTCAGGAGAATTGACAGGGGTAGATAAGGTCAGATTATTTAATACAGGTGGTATTCGCACAAGGGAACATGGGTAGAAGCCGAGCACCTAAATATGCCAAAGACATGGTTCATTTGGATACTCGCCTAGTACTTACCCAGTTGGGCAAGCACAACTAGGTAAGTACTTCTCACCTAGTGTAAGTGTGTTTGGAAGTCAAAACCAGAAATGATAAACAAGAAGCAGATCTTATGCAAGCAATTAGGAAAGAACTGGTAACCAACAGTAAACTCGTTCAAAACACTGTAGATAGAAGTAAGTCCATAATAACTTTTGGATGTTTAGAGAAGGAAATTTCATCTAGGATGGACCGAGCAGCAGAAGAGATGAAAATCATAGAAATATAAGTAAGATTAGGAGAAGGCCTAAATTCAAAAAAGCATGTTAGTAATTTTAGGAGGATAGGAAAATATGAGAAAGACAAGAACCGCCCCTTAATTTAATGGAGTGAAGTACTGTATATGACAGAAGTGCTTCGGAATACCAGAAAATTGCAATGTGACGAGGATGGCAAACTTTGGTCAATAAGACAAGACCTCTCAAAAGAGGACAGAGAAAAGCTGAAAATGAACCTCATTGAAGCAAAAACGTCTAAATGGGGATAGAAATGAAGAAGAAAGGAATTATTTTTTCTACAAAGTGTCAGGGACTGGAAAGCTTGTGAAATGGTACATAAAGACAAAGCAACAAAATCATTTAAGGAAAGGGGTGTAAAGAACAAAGGGAAGGGGAATATGTTCCTGAAAATAGTATATACCAACATAGATGGAGTGATATAGAAAATATTGGAGTTGAAGGATATAATTCAGCTCAAAGTACCAGATAGTGTCGCATTAACAGAGATGAAACCTGAAAATATTTTAAATGAGGTCGTATTCCCAAGGGGCTACTCAGTTTGAAGACGTGACAGGAAAACTAGAAAAGGGGGAAGGAGAGGCTGTGCTGGTGAAAGAACACCTTAAGTAAGAGAGTTAATATTTGAAAACCACTCGAGATAGACATAATGGCATTGCAGGTCTGGAATCAAGATGATAAGCTGATAATTTGAAATGCCTACAGCCCACCAGCACGCAACACATGGACAAAGGAAGAACTGGATGACAAACAAGAGGGCCTCAAAATAGCCATGAGAGAGATTATGGTAAGAGCTGACAAAGATAAATCCCGATTGTTGGTACTGGGGGGACTTCAACTTTAACCACTTAACTGCGCCAACCGAGTATTCTCGGTCGGCGGAAAACTGCGCCAACCGAGAAAACTCTGATTTTTCGTTACCAATTCTAAATGTGTACGAGGTTGGTTGTGTACGAAATGGACTCTTAGGACCTCCAGTGAGAGGCCGCCATCTTGGAAAAAATTCCCAGAATGCCCTAGGGCTGCTGGCTGGGTTAGTACTGAATGAGCAAACATGGGTGGCGCACGCGCCTCTGGCTCCCAAACACCTGTCCGACGCGGGGTTGAAAGATAACGCTCTGTCGGTGAAATTCAAACCTTATTGTTTGAAGAACATAAGAGTCATAATATTGGTGAAGCTAGGTGCAATATGGACCTAACACAAAGGTTGAATGCAAGTGATACAGCACCTATGAGGACGATACAGCGAGCTTATACAGTTGCAGCTCTGAGCGTCTCCCTTGCACTCTTATGCTATCTACAATTTATTTAGATAATACATACTGTAGATGAATCGTTTTCTGCGTTCAGTGATGATGCATCTGATACAAATAGCATAGATGAACAATGTTAGCGGCTTCCATGGTGGTGTTTTCCCTAGATATTTTCAAGAATACCTGAATCTCTTCCCAACTGACGGACACTCTTTGAGGCTAGCTGAATCTCTCCCTGACTGAAGGACACTCTTGAGGTAAGCTGAATCTCTTCCTGTGTGGGACCATACAAAGCGATCTTTTCAAGACTACCTTACAAATTGATCTTTTCCTATAATCTTTTCAATACTACCTTGTGCTTTACAAGCTTGGTTACATACAACCTACAAGTACTAAAGCCAAGGGTGTACGTGAGTGCGTTATTTGCAACCACACAGAATGAAGAAACAGGAAGCGAAAATTAATCTGTACCTGGTGCACTGAGAGCGAAGTTGCGCTGTGTACCATGGGCTACTTCGTTGATTATTACTCACTTCTGAAGTACTGAGTACGTAATACAGTGTGTTACTGTGTAAATAGTGTGTTTACTGTACATATTGTAATTTTAGTGAATTTTTAACAGGTAATATTGCAACAATAAACATTTATTGTAGACACATTACTGACATATGTATCAGTTCCATTGAACATTATGAACGTTCTACTGTATACATATTGTAAAGGACACAAATATGCATCATATACAATAAAAAAAACAAATAAAACTGCATTGGAAATACATAAAACTAATAATTGAAAATATATTTGTGGCAATACCCGGTGCTTGAAGGGCCCGCACAACCGTGTCTGGGCGATTCACGCACAGGCGACCAGGCCCTGATGATGTCACAGTGCACCTTGTCCACGTCCCCACAGCCAAAGTAAGTGGAATTTGGTATTTATTTTTACATAGGCATGTTCAGGGAAGGGAATTTATCATTTTATGAAGAACAAATAATTTTTGGGGAACACTATTTCATGCGTACCGGGGGAATTTCTCAATAAACTCCGTGCAGCACGGTGGTTAAGGCAATAAATTGGGAGGCCTACGAGGCAAGAACAGAGGACACTTGGACAGGCAGATTTGTAAACCTCATCTTGAAGATATTCATGTATCAGCACGTCAAGCAGGCCACAAGAATGAGGGAAGGAATGTTCCGTCAGTACTGGATCTAGTATTCACCAGGAAAGAAGAAGAGGTATTTGACATCCATTACCTTCCTCCCTTGGGAAAGAGTCATCACGTCCTCTTGGACATTAAATACACTATGCGATATAATCTAGAATAGAATGGGGACAGTGGAACAGTTGTTAAATTCTATTTCAAGAGGGGACGCTATGGGAACCTTAGGAATTTTTTTCATGGGTTTAATTGGACAGATTTGTTGCTAGGCAAGGAAGTATGCCAAATTTTGCAAAATATACGATGAAGGCACACAAACATTCATACCAAAACAGACATGCAAACCTAGGAAACAGGGCTGGTTCAACAGAAATTGCAGGAGGGCCAGAGATCAAAAGACAAGCATGGAATCATCATAGAATGAGGCCAAACCCCCAAACATACCAGCGATACAAAGATGCAAGAAATAACTACACGTCAATAAGGAGAGGCAGATAGGAACTTTGAGAACGGTATAGCAGACAAATGTAAATCAGATCCAGGCCTTTTCTATAAATTCATTAAAAGCAAAGTGCAGGTGAAGGATAATATTCAGAGGTTGAACATGGGGGCAGATACACGGAAAACGAAAAGGAAATGTGTGAAACATTAAACGAAAAGTTCCACAGTGTGTTTGTACAAAATGAGGTCTTCAGAGAACCAGACACAATAAGAATTTCAGAACAGCATAGAGCACATAGAGGTGTCTAGAGATGAAGTGAAACAAATGCTCCTGGAGCTAATTAAGAACAGAGCAGTTGGCCCAGATCGAGTTTCACCATGGGTTCTGAGAGAATGTGCAACTGAGCTCAGCATTCCACTTCAGCTGATTTTTTCAGACATCCCTGTGCACAGGAGTCGTAGCAGGAGTAGCAGCAGGTTCTGTTCGTTTGGTCCTGGTGGTCGTTTTGTTCGTTTGCAGCCTTCTTTTTTTGGGGCAAAGCATGAGACAGCTGGCTTCCAGAGGGGTTTGTTGGTTGTGGATGTTTGGTTGGTTAGGCCAGAGTTTGTCACGTGTTGTGTCCAGTGACAGTTTTATGCTGCTACCTGTGGGCCATTGGTTCTGGGATGGTGGTCGCACTCCGGATGGATCTGGTTTCCTTGGTTCCCTGTTCCAGGGCTCGTGTGTCTCGGGATGACCGCATTGTCAAAGTCTAACCAGCCTGCAGTCTATCCTCATGCCCATGATATTAGAAAGTATGCTGCTCTCACGGCAGTTTTTGGCAACATGTCTTGGGTCAACATTTGGTCGTGAGGATTTTGATGGTCGAACAGGGTCCTGGCCGCCAGGTATCTCGTGAACGTTCTGGTTCCTGCCCAGTCATGTGTGGCTTTGGGACACCTGTCGCAGTCGTCTGTCTCTTCCTTGTCTTGAGACCTGAGGTACTGCTGCCTCCCGGGTAAGTCCCTACTTTTACTTATCTTTGGGTAGCTAGCTTCAGGGAGCCGACAGGGCTCCCCACAGAAAACCAGTGTTGAATGTAATGAAACATCCTTTCATTACATTCAACAATGAATGTAAACCCTCATTCTTGTAGCCTGTTCGATGTGTTAATACACAAATGTCTCCAGAATGAGGTTTATAAATCTGCCTGTTCAAATGTCCTCCATTCTTGCTTCATAGGTCTCCCAGTCTATTGCTTTCAAGTTACAGTTCTCCAGTACCAACAATCATGATTTATATATCTGCTCTTATTATAATCTCTGTCATGACCATTATGAGTCTCTCTCTTTTGTCATCTAGTTCATGCTTTGTCCATGTGTTGCTTGCTAGTGGGCTTTAGGCATTTATGATTATCAGTTAATCATCCTGATACTAGACCTGCAATGTCGCTATGTCAACTTTTCGTGGGTTGTCAATTATTAACCCTCTTACCTTCAGGTGTTCATTCACCAGCACAGCCACTCCATAACCATCCATTCTAGTTTTTTATCACGTCTCCAAACTAAGTAGTCCCTGAGAATACGACCTCATTTAAAATATTTTCTTCAAGTTTTGTCTTAGTGCAACAATATCTAGAATCTTATGCTGAATTATATCTTCTAGTTCCAATAATTTTTTACCTCATTCCATTTATAGTAGTACTGTATATACAATTTTCAGGTATATGCTCCTTCTACCTTTGTCCTTTCCTCCCCCTTCCTCTAATGATTTTGTTGGTTTGTTTTTATGTACCATTTCACAGGCCTTCCAGTCCCTATCACTTTGTAGAAAATATTTATTTTCATTTTGTTTCCATTTAGACGTTTTGCTTCGAGGTTTAATGAGAGCTACGCTTGTGGTGTCCCATCTTCCCAGTACTCTGTCATATAACGCTTTGAAACTACAGACGGTTTTGGCATCCACTACCTTCTCACTTAACTTGTTCCTACCGTCTACCACTCTGTTCGCTTGAAGTGGCTAGTTTCAGGAAGTCTTTTGTCAATTTGGTCGATTCCTGTTATTATTTTGTAAGTGGTGATCATATTACCTCTCTTTTTTTCCTATCTTCTAGTTTTGGCTTATTTAACACCTTGAGCCTCTCCTCATAACTCTTGTTTTTCAAATCTGGAAGCCATTTTGTAGCATGCCTTTGCACCTTTTCCAGTTTCTTGATGTGGTTCTTGAGATATGGGTACCATACAACTGCTGCATATTCTAATTTTGGTCTCACAAAAGTCATGAATAGTTTCTTAAGTATTTCACCATCAACCTAATTAAAAGAGAGTCTGAAGTTAGAAAGTGGCGCATACACTCCTCGCACAATGTTCTTTATGTGTTCCTCTGGTGTCAGACTACTATCCAAAACCACTCCTAGATCTCATTCTTTATTAAAGCTCTTTAATTTCTTTCCACAATTTGTAAGTTGTGTGTGGTCTATTTTTTCCGATTCCACATTCCATAACATGACTTTTAATCACATTGAATTCCATTTGCCACATGTCACACCAAGCACTAATTTTATCTAGATCCATTTGAAGGGCATGACAATCTTCTGTCTTCTATCCTTACCCAGCATCTTAGTATCATCCGCAAACATGTTCATATAATTCTGTATTCCTTCCAGTTGATCGTTAATGTAAATGACAAACATTACTGTTGCAAGAACTGAATCCTATGGGTGTGCATGCATGCATGTGCACGTATTTTAGAAACATGTCGATATATTGTAGATATCTACTGTATTGTGATATGTCATATGTAACTGTGGTATTTACGTAGGAAAAACTAGAGATTTCGTGAAGATAGTTGTGTGAACAATGCAGGAAAAAAGGAATTTCATATTATTGATGTCTAGAGACCATGACCTTACCCTACATCAAAATTGTGTTCTTCTAAACCTCTAAATTTTCCAGCCTATCCTCCTAAAATGATAGAACAGTACTTATAAATCTTATTTGGTCAAAAGTACCAATATGTGGTGATGGACCACAAAAAGTTCATTTTTGTACTTTTAATCTTATTGTCTGGAAAAATATATCTAAAAACAAAATTTAAATACTGTATTATTAGACCTAGTATAATGTACTATAGTATGCCAAAGATAGAATACATTAGGCCTAGAATTGCTAGTAGAGGTTAGGTTAGGTTCTGTATATTGCAGTTAAAAAATTTCCCATGTGGCTAAATTCAATAGTGCAAACATAAACCTTTTGGTGGTCATCACTATAAACGAATATTGGTACTTTCAACCAAATAGTTACTATACTTACTATCATTTTATGAGAATGGGCTAAAATTTTCATATAAAGAAGTACAGTGGAACCTCAGTTTTCGAATGCACATCTTTTCAAATTTTTGGTTTTTGAGCTCAATTTCTCCGTAAAATTCAACACGGTATTTGAGGTTTGCCTCACTTCTCAAGTTTGTTAATGCACGTATGGGTCGACCGAGCATGTGGCGCCCCTCGATCGACCTATAAACGTAGGAGAGAGAAAGTATCTCAGAAATGTCATCACTGCCTGATATTATAATGAAGGGGGGACTCCCCTTTCCAAACACTAACACCTGTCCTCCTCCCCACCATCTTCCATATGCCAACAAGAATCCTTGATAAAGGCAAGATATGCTTGTACATACTGTAGTACAAAATACGAGTAGTATTATGTATAAAATATATTTTTAAGTTAAAATTTTTGGGTGTGTGGAATGGATTAATTCAATTTACATTATTTCTTATGGGAAAATTTGTTTCGGTTTTCAAATTTTCAGTTGTGGAACTGTCTCTGGGAACTAGCTAAATTTGTAAATGAAGGTACCACTGTATCAGTATGTGCTACATATACTTCAGATGTAATCTCTGTAAAAAGTAATATACTTAGAAAAAAGAACATTAAGGAAATGACAAGCTAGAAAAATAAAAAAGAAAGAAAACATAATGTATTCTTACCCATACAAAGTTCAGTATAAAGAAGATACATTGCCTTGTTCTCCCATGGATTCTCGGACTGTAAGTCAACTGTATGGCAAACATACTTGACAGCAATATTTAGTGCCACCGTCAAGAGAATAGCATATTCAAAGCCAAACACCAGCTGGACTGAAGCACCCCGAGTGATAGTGGAGTGGTAGGCATGACTCACCAGGATCAAGTCTAGTAGACTCAGAAGAAGAAGCAAGGCTGAAAAAAAATACAAACTGTTCACAGCAGAAATAAATTTTTCAGCTTAGTGTCTAAAGAATTAATAATTATTTACAAAATACTTTATTAATCCATATCTTTTAACACACTTATTAACCTCTTCTACAACAGAACATTATTTGGAGCAAATACTTACATATAACCCTGATGTGGAAGAGCAATGTTATTACTGGTGACCGTTCCATAAAGTCCACTCTGTAGTCTGCAAGCCAATGGAAGGCTTTCAGAAATAGTAGCACAGTAAAAAGTGCTACAAACTTGGGAGAGAAGTCATCTCTGAACACAGTGAATGCCAGGCAGGTTTCAGTAACAGCATAAAAAGATCGTTCGACGAGGTGCTGTGAAAATTAAAGACAGCATAATTAAATTAGCACAGAAACCTGTAGAAATAATACAAGTCCAATGTAGTAAATACAAGACAATGCTACCCAAATAATTAATCTATGTAGGTGGATTGTTTAATTCTCCTTTACACAGGTAAGTGAATGTTGTACCACCAAACTTAACCATACATTACTCTACTAACTCACTTAAGCATTTAACATCTAGTCACTAGCTCAAGCCAATTAGGCCTAGCCTACACATCTAAGGTCAGTAATCGGATCACTATTGAATTCCAACTCTGCAAGACACTTAAAATCCCTTTAACCACTGCACTGCATTGGCCAAGAAATCTTATTTGCCCCTTACTGCACCAACCAAGAAAACCACTTTTTATTTCTTTGTACACAGTCGAAATGCGAGCACGGTAGGTTGGATACAAAATGGACTCCTGGGACCTCCAGTGAGAGGCAGTCATCTTTAAAAAAAATTCCCAGATCTCCCAAGGGCTGCTGGCAGGATCAGTTCTGAATGAGCAACCAAGGGTAGCACACGTGCCTCTGGTTCCCAAACACCTGTCGGTCGCGGTGTTGAAAGATTGCTCGCCATCAGTGAAATTCGACAATATTGTTTGAAGAACATAAGGGGTCATGGTATTGATGAAGCTAGGCACAATAAGGACCTAACACAAGGGTCAGATGCAAGTGATACAGCATCGACGAGGACAGTACAGTGAGCATATCCAGTTGTAGCTGAGCTCCACCCTTGCTCACCCGTGTTATCTCTAATTTTGTTATAGATAATACATAGATGAATCATTTTCTGGGTTCAGTGATGATGCATCTGATACAAGTAGCATAGATGAACAGTGTTAGCAGCTGCCATGGTGGTGTTTTCCATCAATCTTGTCAAGAATAGCTGAATCTTTTTCCAGAATGGCTGAATCTCTTCCAGAATGGCTGAACCTCTTCCAGAATGGCTGAATCTCTTCCAGAATACCTTACAAGCAATCTTTTCAAGACTACCTTACACTTCACAAGCTTGGCTACATACCACGTACAGGTACTAAAGCAAGGGTGTATGTGAGTGCATTAATTGCAAGCACACAGAACAAAAACAGGAAGCGAAAATCTGTTTTTACCTGGTGCATCGAGAGCGAAGTCGCGCTGTGTACCATGAACTGTTTTGTTGATTATCACTCACTTCCAAAGTACTGTATGTAATACTGTGTGTTACTGTGTGAACAGTGAGTGAAACTGTACATATAGTAATCTTAGTGAATTTTGAACAAGTAATATTGAGACAATAAACATTTATTGTGGACACATTACTGACACGAGCATCACAGTTCCATGAAACATTTTAACACTATCCTGGAATTTCCACTTGGAATTACGGGCGTTTTGCTTAACCGCTTGTCGGATCACGACGTAAATTTACGGACCGTGTTATATTGGGTATTTACTACTCGATCGACTTGGGGTTTGTATGAATATGTTTGCCATTAAATTTTTGTTTTCTCTAATAGGCACTGTGCCTATTTGAGAAAACGGCAATGTATTGTAACTTAGAGGAGAGACTATTGAATTGGTGACACAACGAGGGTAATCGCGCACTCCACACACTCTTTGTGTTGGCCGCGATCATGATTCTACATTTATATGCATATGTCTGTGTAGAGAATTTTATTCCGAACACTATACAAACAAAAAAAATGGAGTGAATCAAGTATAAACTTGAAAAAACATGAGCAAAGTAAAAACTTTTTACGCATACGGGTACAAACACGCATAAGATTCGCGTAAGATTTTATTCGCCGCAAATTTATTTGAAGCTCTGTTGGCCAATTCTACCCATGTTCTTATAGAACTTTCTATTGCGAACACATTGCTATAAAAATGAAATACGTAGCTCGAGAAATAATGTCAGGACAGTGAAATAAGTATAAACTTTCAAAGCGCTGCATCACAACAGTGTCGTCGCTGCTGAAATCACGGCTAACACTTCGCCCAGTTCCCACACTCGTGCGGAACATAATTAGACATTGATAGGCATATGTCTGGGTGGGGAATTTTATTGCGAGTTCAGTGATATCAAAATAAGCGCTGTAGGATGACTGTGAGGCTGGCAACAAACGAAAGAGTATGAACATTTACTTCCTGTTTGGGTGTCACGGCGAGTCATCTTCGTGTTTATTTACTTCGTGGTGGGATAGCAAATGCTTGGGTGACATTTTATGCATATGATCTTGTAGAGAATTTTATTGCCAACGCATTGATACCAAAATGAAAAACGTAGCTCGAGAATTGATGTTAGGAGCGTGAAAAGATTATAAACTTTTTTGTATTTACGCTTGAGCGCCCAGAACGCCGCGCGCACAACCCGCTTTTTTTTTCAGCGAGTGCCGCACGCACTAAAGTGTTAAATGTTCTAATACATACATATTGTAAAGGACACAAATATGCATCATATACGATAAAAAAAAAAAACTTCATTGGAAATACATAGAACAAATAATTGAAAATATATTTGTGGCAACTCGTGGTGCTTGAATGGTCCCGCGACCGCCTCTGGGAGCTTCACGCCCAGGCTTACAGCAAACATGCCCCCCCTTCTCCATGTCCCTACAGCCAAAGTGGAATTTATTTTTTTCTTTTACATGTACATGTACAGGGAAGGGAATTTAGCATTTTACAAAGATCTAAAAAAAAATTGGGGAACACTTGATTTTCGGTGCACAGGAGAATGTCCCAATAAATATGGTGCATCATAGTGGTTAAGTGTTAAATGTGTGAGCTCTTCATACATTGTATTGTGCTCTACATCTAAGTGGAACTCAATTATATAGTAGTTTTAACCCCAAATAAAAAATTATTTTAAGGTTGTCAATTAACATGAAAATACTTCAAACACTAAATATTTGAAGTGACTTGTGAACAGCTAAATCTATGTAAAAATGACACTATAGTTACACAAAGATGTTAAATATTTTAACACTGTATAGTGAGTGGGGTATGGTAAAGGTGGTAGCAGGTGTGGGATTGAAGGTGACGAGTGCAAGTGGCAGGAGCGTGGGCGGCACTGGTGGTGGCAGGAGTGTGGGCGGCACTGGTGGTGGCAGGTGCGTGGGCGGCACTAGTGGTGGCAGGTGCGTGGGTGGCACTGGTAGTGGCAGGTGCGTGGGCGGCACTGGTGGTGGCAGGAGCGTGGGCGGCACTGGTGGTGGCAGGTGCGTAGGCGGCACTGGTGGTGGCAGGAGCGTGGGCGGCACTGGTGGTGGCAGGTGCGTGGGCGGCACTGGTAGTGGCAGGTGCGTGGGCGGCACTGGTAGTGGCAGGTGCATGGGCGGCACTGGTAGTGGCAGGTGCGTGGGCGGCACTGGTGGTGGCAGGTGCGTGGGCGGCACTGGTGGTGGTAGGTGCGTGGATGGCACTAGTGGTGGCAGGTGCGTGGATGGCACTAGTGGTGGCAGGTGCGTGGATGGCACTAGTGGTGGCAGGTGCATGAGGTGGCAATGGCAGGTGTGAGTGGCGAGTTTATATAGTGATACAGTATGTGGTGGTGCTTGAAAGGTGGGTGGGGTGTATGACATTATGATTAGCGAGTGGGTGGTGGTGATAGGTCCAGGGTTCGGGTGGGGGTGGGTTGCGGTGATGGGTCCAGGGTTCGGGTGGGGGTGGGTGGCGGTGATGGGCCCAGGGTTTGGGTGGCAGTGATGGTTACTAGTTTCGAGGGAGCTTAAAAGTCACTGAACACGGTAAACTAGATGTTCTGTCCCATAGCACTAGGACGATCTGGATGAACCTAGTGCTATGGGACAGAACAGTTACCAAAGGAGCCTTGTTCAAAAACAATTTTTGTCAATTCTTAATCCATATCATTATGCTACATTTTGAAATTGAAATTATAAGCTGCAGAGAGAAATGTATATTGAGTGTAGCAAATACAAAGCCAAGAATGCATAGAGCTGTGCGATGCACTCTAGTGTGCTCAGTTCTTTGAAAACAAACACTTGCTACTACTTTATTAGTACTTACTTAATAATCAAGAACTGTATATAGGAGAAAAGCAAGTGTCCATACCTCAAACTCTGCTGCTCTTAGAGATCCAAAGAAGACCTTTTTGAGGAATTTTCCAAGGAGGATTACCAGTGTGAAGGCAAGCAGGTAGATTGCCTGAAAAAAAATAGATTAAATACATGCAAGGGTTATTCATATATTGCAACATACCCCAAACATTTTTTCTAATTGTGCTGAAATTATTTTATGGACCTCATCCCTTCATTTTTACTGTCCTTGAGTATCCCTATCAAGCTTGCATCATGAGGTATTTGTTTAACTCCTAAAGTGTGCAGCTATTGAAAATGACAGTAAAACATTGAAGTACGCATGACTAGAGTGTTTACAAACAATAATAAATGCTTTATGGTGTCAAGCACAGGAGGATGTCGCAGACAGCAATTTGAGAACAGGAGAAAGTCAGATAGCAATTTATCATCCTGCTCGCCATACCTCCCAAGACTGTTCAACACGCTTCCACTACACATAAGGGGCATAACTGGCCGACCCCTCACAGTGTTCAAGAGAGAACTGGATAAGCACCTCCAAAGGATACCTGATCAACCAGGCTGTGACTCATACGTCAGGCTGCGAGCAGCCACGTCTAACAGCCTGGTTGATCAGTCCAGCAACCAGGAGGCCTGGTCGACGACCGGGCCACGGGGACACTAAGCCCCGGAAGCACCTCAAGGTAACCTCAAGGTAACCTCTCTGGTGATAAAGACAACAGAATAAACAGACATGAGCCGAGGAGAAGTCTGAAGCAGTAAGGTACATCACTAAGCCAATCTTCTGAAGGAGGCAGAGCCACAGAAAAAAACACCTGGGTTTGGACCCCAAGCAAGCAGCACCTGAAACCAAGGCCGAGTTGGCCACCAAGGAGCCAGAATAACTACCTTCCCGTTCCTTCAACCTGGCCAGGACTCTGATCAGCAGCAGGCAATCAAGGAACAGAGCTACAGTATGTGGAGAGGAAGGCACCCGATTCCAAGCCAAGCACAAAGTCCTCCACATTGGGGCAACTGAGCTTCTCGCAAACCCATCGGAAGGAAGCAGCATCTACGGTCCACTCCGTGAAGGTGGGAAGGAAACGAGATAGACTGTCTGCAAAAAGTTGGACACACTTCAAACGTGAAAAGCATGGAGCACCAAACCCCAATAATCCAGCAGATGAGCTACCCGCAACATCCAGTGCCAAAGGCAATGAACCAAAGGGAGCCCCCACACAGTTCAGACAATGAACCACCATGGAACAGTAAGAATGAAGCCAGAACACTTTATCCAGAGGAATCCAAATCCTCCTCAGGGAATGCCACATGGCCATAAACTGCACCATACTGTGTGCTCATTGGAAAAAAATCAGCCAATGACCCTAGGTGGCTTGGTGAGCGATGGTCACAAAGCCACAACCCAGAGCTGATAAAACGTAAAAACGTTGAGCAATGGTGATGGAAGACACCAAGGAACTGAACCCTATAAAGCCCAAAGTGGATGCTGGAGATGCAGCAACTGACAAAGGGCAATCAGGGTCCAAACCATTTATATAGTGTCGGCAAAAAGTCGCAACAGCAGCAAAGGGAGCAGAACTGGAAAAACCAGAACAATCCTTGAATCCAAACCCTGCCCAGTGAAAAACCAAACTGGCAAAGTTCAGCATCCCACACAACCTCTTGAGAATCCACAGTTACCCAGTACTGCCTCAACACCAACAGGTGATGGCACTGCAAAGTAAGATTGCCAGAGGAAGAGAAAACGATGCCCCATTGAGAGCCCTGCCCAAGGTCCATCCGAGTCCAAACCTGAGATGGCACCAAATGGAACTTCTACCAGTTCACCAGGAACCTGATCCTGGCAACCTGTAAAAAACCAGATCCCTGGCAAGCAGACATGCAGACTAACTGGGGACCCCACACCAGCCGGCCGTCAAGGTAGGCTAGAACGCGAACCCCAATAAATGAAGACGAGTCATCATAATCCAAGCCAATCTGCTGAAAACACCAGCCAGATTCAGGCCAGAGACGCACCCTGAAGCATTAGGCCTGACACCCCACTACAAAACCTAACCAATTCCTGACCCTAGGATATACAGAGATGTCAACAAGCTTCCCATAGGTCTAGGGAAATCATCCAGGACCCCACCTCCAACACGAGGTAACTGGGACCAGAGTGGTCATGTGAAGAGAGATGGTGGATGAACATTTATTGCCCCAAAAGATTGAGGATGAAACAGCTTCTCTGAGTACTGTTTCAGAACTGGAAGACAAGACCAAGTGATGGGATGCAATCACTTTGACCATGCTGGAAGTAACCCACTTTCAAATGACCTATGAAGGCAAGGGGAAGAAGCTTGCTTCAAAAGCCCAGGCCCCAGGAAGTGGGGTAAGGATCAACTCCACCATAGGCCACGCAAAATGATCCAAAAAGCCCTCATATCGTGCGATTAGGAGTTGGCTAACCAGGTTAGCCACCCTCTTCCTCACTGCCCCATCAAAGAAGCGAACTGCGAAAGGGCCAGCACAAAATACGACCGTCTGTAGCCCTCTGGAAAGCGCGAGAACTGAACTGATGAACAGAAGATGTACCAACAACAGGAAGCACATACAACCCTCATCTGCTTCCAATGACAGCATATTCTAACCAGCAGTAGGTAAAGCCCCAGTCTTACCAAACCACCTACGAGAACAAGGACAAAAATCCCAGGAACATAAAAGGTGGGAATCACTTCTGCAGCAAGAAGTGGCTGCAGAAGACAAAAACTGAGCAACCACCACCTCCAGAAAGAGGAAAAGCAAAAATGAGGAGGCAGACAATCGGGCCAAGGACCAAGCCAAATCAAATGTACAAGAATGTAACAACTCTTATATATCTCAAAAAAAAAATAATAAAAAAAAAAATAATAATGACTGGGCCAACTCAACCTGTTGACATGCGAGACAGGCAGAATAGAATGCGGCCATTGCCTCCCATAGCACTGACGCAGCAATAGGCATTGTGCAGGCCAAAGATAAAGCTGTATTCTTGGGCAAAGAAAGTAATTGTGCAGAACAACTTGTAGCGAGATTTAACAAGGAACTCTGACTAAAATTGGGGTGTGATGACATCACACCCCCCTGATATTGGCACATCATGTGAAGAGTGAGAATCACCTGACAAGTACCCAGAAGCCCCAACTTGACAAGTTAGTAAGTCTTCTTGACTAAGTATGGGTTGCATAAAAAGCAGAATGCAACATTTTTTTATCAGAATACACGTCAAAAAGAATTTCAGCTCTAAAACCTCTCACTTTCTCTCTCTTTCTTAAAATGAGCTTTTAATTCTGATTATTGTTCAACCAACAGATAGGTGAACTGACAGCCACCTTGTTTTACAGTTAGCAAGTATATTTAGTGGATTTGTACCATCATTGAGATTTTTATCTAACTTTTATATTCAACTTGTCTAACAGAAGAGTGAGAGAACCATTTATGGGTTTCTACAATGAGAAACTCCAAATTTCTAGGTAGATATTCAGAAGATGTGCAAGAAACTGCTAATTTTATGGAGTGGCATACACATCTTATTAAAATGAGTGATGGAACTACTTTTTTTTAACCCTTAAACTGCGCATGGTGTATATATACGCCATGAGTAACATGTCCCACAGTGTGCATGGCATATATATACGCCATAGGGTGCCGGGCACGATTCAAATGGCCTGCGGCTACACGGGGTTCACATTAGTTTCCTCGGGGCTCTTGTAAACAGACGCCATTTTTTTTTAAATCGTGGCCAATATTCTCAGGTGTAAGAGCTACAGTACTGTTGGAGCAACCAAGGCAGGCGCATGCAGCATGAGCGAACAGCATTGCTGTTCAGCTTGTGACCACAGCATCGCCGAAAAATGTAAAAATAAATATATAACTGCTATTATTTGGCGATGACAATATTACAGATGACCCCTAACTGTGATAAAAATGACCAGGGTTGTGATAATAGCAGGATTGTTCTAATAATTAGCGCTGTGGGAGGAGTGATGCTGAGGGACGGAGGGAAATTGCATCGTTTACTGACTGTGTACTCACCTATATGTACTCACCTATATGTGCTTGCAGGATCGAGCATTGACTCTTGGATCCCGCCTTTCTAGCTATCGGTTGTTTACAGCAATGACTCCTGTCCCATTTCCCTATCATACCTAGTTTTAAAAGTATGAATAGTATTTGCTTCCACAACCTGTTCCCCAAGTGCATTCCATTTTTCTACTACTCTCACGCTAAAAGAAAACTTCCTAACATCTCTGTGACTCATCTGAGTTTCCAGTTTCCACCCATGTCCCCTCGTTCTGTTATTATTACGTGTGAACATTTCATCTATTTCCACTTTGTCAATTCCCCTGAGTATTTTATATGTCCCTATCATATCTCCTCTCTCCCTTCTTTTCTCTAGTGTCGTTAGGTTCAGTTCCTTCAGCCGCTCTTCATATCCCATCCCTCGTAACTCTGGGACAAGCCTCGTCGCAAACCTCTGAACCTTCTCCAGTTTCTTTATGTGTTTCTTCAGGTGGGGGCTCCATGATGGCGCGGCATACTCTAAGACGGGTCTCACGTAGGCAGTGTAAAGTGCCCTAAAAGCTTCCTCATTTAGGTTTTTGAATGAAGTTCTAATTTTCGCCAGTGTAGAGTACGCTGCTGTCGTTATCCTATTTATATGTGCCTCAGGAGCTAGATTAGGTGTCACATCCACTCCCAGGTCTCTTTCTCGAATCGTTACAGGTAGGCTGTTCCCCTTCATTGTGTACTGTCCCTTTGGTCTCCTGTCACCTGATCCCATTTCCATAACTTTACATTTACTGGTGTTAAACTCCAGTAGCCATTTCCCTGACCATCTCTGCAGCCTGTTTAAGTCCTCTTGGAGGATCCTACAATCCTCGTCTGTCACAACTCTTCTCATTAATTTTGCGTCATCTGCAAACATTGACATGTATGATTCCACTCCTGTAAACATATCATTTACGTAAATTAGAAAGAGGATTGGTCCCAGCACCGATCCTTGAGGTACTCCACTTGTTACTGTTCGCCAGTCCGACTTTTCGCCCCTTACCATTACCCTCTGGCTCCTTCCTGTTAGGTAGTTCTTCA